TGTAATGTAATGTAATGTAATGTAATGCATGCATGTATGTATGTATGTATGTATGTATATATGTATGTGTATGTATGTATGCATGCATGTATGTAATGTATGTATGTAATGTATGTATGTATGCATGTAATGTAATGTAATGTATGTATGTATATATGTATGTGTGTATGTATGTATGTATGTAATGTATGTCTGTATGTATGTGTGTATGTATGTAAGTAAGTATGTATGTGTGTAATGTATGTATGTATGTGTGTATGTATGTATGTATGTATGTATGTAATGAATGAATGTATGTATGTCTGTCTGTTTGTCTGTATGTATGTAATGTAATGTAATGTAATGTAATGTAATGTAATGTGATGTATGTTTGTATGTAATGTAATGTATGTATGTAATGTGATGTAATGTAATGTAATGTAATGTATGTATGCATGCATGCATGCATGTATGTATGTATGTATGTATGTAATGTATGTATGTATGTATTTATGTGTGTTATGTTATGTTATGTTATGTATGTATGTATGTATGTTATGTATGTATGTATGTAATGTATGTATGTACTGTATGTATGTAATGTATGTATGTATGTATGTATGTATGTATGTATGTATGTATGTATGTATGTAATGTATGTATGTATGTAATGTAATGTATGTAAATGTAATGTAATGTATGTATGTATGTATATATGTATGTATGTATGTATGTATGTATGTATGTATGTATGTATGTATGTATGTATGTATGTAATGTAATGTAATGTAATGTAATGTAATGTAATGTAATGTAATGTAATGCATGCATGTATGTATGTATGTATGTATGTATATATGTATGTGTATGTATGTATGTGTGTATGTATGTATGTATGTCTGTATGTATGTAATGTATGTAAGTGTGTATGTATGTCTGTATGTATGTAATGTATGTATGTATGTATGTATGGATGTATGTAATTAATGTAATGTATGCATGTATATAATGTATGCGTGTAATGTATGTATGTATGTATGTAGGTAATGAATGTATGTATGAATGTATGTATGTCTGTTTCTCCGTCTGTATGGAATGTAATGTAATGTAATGTGATGTGATGTGATGTGATGTATGTATGGTATGTATGTATGTATGTATGTATGTAGTGTAGTGTAGTGTATGTATGTATGTATGTATGTATGTAATGTATGTATGTATGTATGTATGGATGTATGTATGTATGTATGTACGTATGCTATGTAATGTATGTGGGTAGGTATGTAATTTATGTATGTATGTATCCTTGCATTCCCCTTTGCTCCCCAGTATTTCCCGTCAAAAACACGGGTTTTCCAGTGTTTTCGCAAAGAGGGCGTCCAAAAACACAGAGTTTTTTCCACATTGTCGGCAAAAGGAGGCGGGAAACCGAAACCAGCAAAAAGCCGGCAGGGGGAATCGAGCCTGGGACCCCTGTTTTGCGACACCTCCCCAAAGACTACGTTTAGTGGAACGTCATCAAATTGCCGCGCGGTACGTGGGGGTACCCCCCGCCCCCTGTACCCCATGTGTCAGACGTCGGGGGGGGGGGGATAAGGGGGGGGGGTTGCACCGAGCAATGTCGGCGGATTCCATTCCGCAATGTTGGAGCTGGGAAAGGAAGATTGCCGGTAAGGATGTCACCAACAACCTCACCCTTATGTAGCAGCTCCTCGCGTCTGTTCCTGAGGAGTACAATGGGCGTTGCCAGACTTTTGGCATTACCATTCACTTCAAAGCATGTCGCCAAAATCCTTTCCTTTGAGGCATTTGATAAACTGGGCCTGCCTCCTATCGTTGGCCAAGGAACTCAGCGCACAAGCTCTCCGCTGTGCAGAGGGACGCGATCTTGAACTGCATTCTTCACAGCAGCCACCTTGAGGCGAAGCGGCAACGTCCGGGAGTCTTGTCCAAGGAAAGCAGGTGCAATAAACCAGGGTGGAACCCCCTTGCACCCCAACTGCCACGAATGGACCCCAACTGCCACGAAAACTACTTCTGATATGAACCCCGATCTCCTCCCCCAATTTATCAGCTGGAGCTGGAAACCTGTACTTCGTGCGCTACAAGATTTGGATTTTCCAGCTAGAGCTGGATTTCGCGTACCTGTGCTTCGCGTGCTGAACTTGTACTACAAAGTCGTGATCTTCCAGCTGGAGCTGGAAGCCTGTACTTCGCGCATTAGACTGGTACTACAAGGTTGCGATCTTCGAGCTGGAGCTGGAAACCTGTACTTCGTGCGCTAGACTTGCGCTTCAAAGTTGCGGTTTTGCAGCTAGAGCTCGAAAGCGACACTTTTTCTGATTGACTTTTCCGAGCAACACTTCTGATCTGATCCGCACATCTGGTCGACACTTCTGACCGACAGTTTGAGCAACACTGCTGAACCACACTTCTGATTGACACTTATGAGCAACACTTCTGATCTACACTTCTCATCGACAGTTCTGAGCGACACTTCTGACCAACACTTCTGGTCCACACTGCTCATCGACACCTCTGAGCGACACTTCTGAGCAACACTGCTGAATTGACACTTCTGAGCGACACTGCCGAGCAACAGTTCAGGCTGCCTCTTCTGCGCGACACTGATCGACACTTCGGCGTTACTTCTGATCGACACTTCTGATCGACACTTCTGAGCAACACTTCTGACGCACACTTCAGAGCAACACTGCTGGTTCGACACTGCTGACCGACGCCTCTGACCGACACTTCCGAGCAACACTTTTGAGCAACGCTGCTGATTCGACACTGCTGATCAACACCCCTGACAGCTCTTTTCACTTCTGGGCAACACGTCTGAGCCGCACACACATCAGGAGCACTGCTGAGCTCTCCCTAGCGACAATTCGAGCAACATTTCTACACACATATCTCAGCGACTCCTGAGCGACACTTCTCAGCGACTTACCCCTGAGCAACACTTTTTGAGCACACTTCTGAGCGACACTTCCGAGCAACACTTCCGATCAAAACTTCTGACTGAGACTTCTGAGCAAAAGTTCTGCTCGACACTGCTGAGCGACACTTGTGAGCAATACTTTTGACTGACACTTCTGAGCGACTCCTGAGCAACATGTCCGATCCACACTTCTGATCGGATCGACAGTTCAAGTTCTGAGCAACACTTCTGATCAACACTTCTGACAAGATTTCTGAGGGACACGTCTGAGCAACACATCTGAGCAACACTTCTGTTCGCCACTTCTGACCGACACTTCAGAGCAACACTTCTGACCGACACTTCAGAGCAACACTTCTGACCGAAGCTTCCGAGCAACACTTCTGTTGACACTTCCGACCGATACTTCTGAGCGACGCTTTTGATTGACACTTCTGAACGACACTTCTAATGGACACTTCTGATCGACACTTCTGAACGACACTTCTGTCTCCAAATGCGCACCAGCGATTCGACCCGCTCAAAGTGCGCAGAGGGTTCACTTCGCATGCTCAAAATGTGCACCGCGCCGCGAGAGCGATCTCTCTGAGTCAAAGTGACGTGCCTGCCCCAAAATCTACACCCAGGCGCCAAAGTACTGCGCCTGCCACGAAATTTGCAGGACAATCTCCAAAGTGCCGCGCCTGCCACGAAATTCAAGCAACACGCTCGAAAGTGCTGCGCCTGTCACGCAAAGCAAGCTTGCCACGAACTCAAAATCATCCAAACTGCTGGACCTGCCACAAAATCCAACTTTGACATGTTTACGACACGCATCCAAAACTAGCACGGGACTGTGGCGCCAGAATGATTTCGACCAATTTTGACATGTTCCAAGCTCGCCAAAACGAGCCGAGTGTACGACAGCCAACGAAAACGGCACCGGCGCAAACACTATCACGCGCCTGCCAAGCAGGACACCTCAAAACGACCACCCCTGGATTGCAAACCCCACTGGCACGGCAACGAGAACACGCAGCCTTCCAAAACACTGCGCCTGCGCAGCGAAACAACACGTCGAGCTTGAGGAGCTACGATTTGCGCACAGGGTCAACGAAAACAGCACATCGCAAGTCATCAAACTCACGCGTTCTGCGCTTCCCAACTGAGAGAGCCATAGCGCAATCGTACGAAAGGTTGCGAAACATCCGGCGATCAAGGCTTCACCCCCAGACCCCCAAGATGAAACGAGAACCTTATGCTAGAGCAGCTCTACCCAGAACAGGGTCAAAAATCACAAAGTCGAATATCCGCGCTTGGTTGGGACGCTCCCGTATAAAAATAGAGCTACGCGGGGCGTTCTACTCTGATTCGTGCAAAGGCCTTTTCGAAGTTGACATTCATGTTGACCGCGTGTGACAACGAAATGCAGATTGATAGGGTGTGGTCGCTAAAGAGGTGGACGATCCACGTCGTTGGACAGTCCCCTTGAGGACTTCCACTGAAAACACCTGAATTATCACTATTATACATCCACCAGCAGATTAAATAGAAAAGCAAGGAGCATCCGCAACAGCCCCGGAACCTTCCCAGATCCTTCCGGAACGGAGTCTTGCTCCGCGTTCCAATCACGTGAAAGCCAGCCACGAAGAAAGCTGGGCGATTGAACTTCTCGTTAAAACCATGCTTTACACCACTGCTACTAAACAACCTCCTGTTGGTTTCTGATAGGGGTCCCCTAAAAGAAACCCAAATGGCGTTCCGAGTGTTGCGGAATCCGAAGTCTGCTCGATGTTCGGCTTCGTTCGCCCGTCTGCAAGTTGCAAGCCATGCGACACCCCCAAACGTGTAAGTAGAGCGGCTCCAGTTAGTATCCCAAACCCTGCTGAAAAACAAAACCCAGTCCGCACAAAAGCAAAGCTGGATGGACCAACTGGTTTGTCTTTTTGGAAGAAATAGCGAAATTTATTTGCTGCAGCAAATCGTTGGCCGTGGATCTCTACCACTCAACTCCTATGCCAAGGGAAAACCCATGCCGTACCCCACCCCGAATTCTTCACGATTGGTTTTCTGTCGCGTCTACGGAGACGGGTCCCTCCTGCACCATAGGCACCGGCACCTCGCGGACCTGCTCCACACGCTGGTGGATGACTTGCTCCTCGGAGAGCGGACCGCGGAGAGTTGAGGGAGCTCAATAGGAGGAACCTTTGCCATTTCTCTAACCCCCCCGAGGCGGTTGTCCAAAGCCAAAGTGTTAAACAAAAAATGAGAATCGAGGGGATTCGTTGATATACCCAACAACAGTGGTTGTGTTGTCGTCCAAGAAACCTGTATATTCCAAATATCCTTAGAATCGCAGACCTCCTGCGAGCTCGATTGCAACCCTATTTAAAAAATAGGTGCACCATGCAAGCGTCCATCATCTCCTGGTATGAACCCCGATCTCCTCCCCCAATTTATCAGCTGGAGCTGGAAACCTGTACTTCGCGTATACTAGACTTGTCAAAGTTCTGATTCTCCAGCTAGAGCTGGAAACCTGTACTTCGTGCGCTACAAGATTGCGATTTTCCAGCTAGAGCTGGACTTCGCGTACCTGTCCTTCGCGTGCTGAACTTGTACTACAAAGTCGTGATCTTCCAGCTGGAGCTGGAAGCCTGTACTTCGCGCGTTAGACTGGTACTACAAGGTTGCGATCTTCGAGCTGGAGCTGGAAACCTGTACTTCGCGCGCTAGACTTGCGCTACAAAGTTGCGGTTTTGCAGCTAGAGCTCGAAAGCGACACTTTTTCTGATTGACTTTTCCGAGCAACACTTCTGGTCGACGCTTCTGAGCAACACTTTTGATCCGCACATCTGGTCGACACTTCTGACCGACAGTTTGAGCAACACTGCTGAACCACACTTCTGATTGACACTTATGAGCAACACTTCTGATCTACACTTCTCATCGACACCTCTGAGCGACACTTCTGAGCAACACTGCTGAACTGACACTTCTGAGCGAGACTGCCGAGCCACCGTTCAGGCTGCCTCTTCTGCGCGACACTTCCGAGCAACACTGCTGATCGACACTTCGGCGTTACTTCTGATCGACACTTCTGATCGACACTTCTGAGCAACACTTCTGACGCACACTTCAGAGCAACACTGCTGATTCGACACTGCTGACCGACGCCTCTGACCGACACTTCCGAGCAACACTTTTGAGCAACGCTGCTGATTCGACACTGCTGATCAACACCCCTGACCGATACCCCTGAGCAACACTTTTTGAGCACACTTCTGAGCGACACTTCCGAGCAACACTTCCGATCAAAACTTCTGACCGAGACTTCTGAGCAAAAGTTCTGTTCGACACCTGCTGAGCGACACTTGTGAGCAATACTTTTGACTGACACTTCTGAGCGACACTTTTCAGCGACACTTCTGAACCACACTTCTGATTGACTCCTGAGCAACATGTCCGATCCACACTTCTGATCGGATCGACAGTTCAAGTTCTGAGCAACACTTCTGATCAACACCTCTGACAACATTTCTGAGGGACACGTCTGAGCAACACTTCTGAGCAATACTTCTGTTCGCCACTTCTGACCGACACTTCAGCGCAACACTTCTGACCGAAGCTTCCGAGCAACACTTCTGTTGACACTTCCGATCGATACTTCTGAGCGACGCTTTTGATTGACACTTCTGAACGACACTTCTAATGGACACTTCTGAGCGACACTTCTGAACGACACTTCTGTCTCCAAATGCGCACCAGCGATTCGACCCGCTCAAAGTGCGCAGAGGGTTCACTTCGCATGCTCAAAATGTGCACCGCGCCTTGGCGAGAGCGATCTCGCTGAGTCAAAGTGACGTGCCTGCCACAAAATCTACACCCAGGCGCCAAAGTACTGCGCCTGCCACGAAATTTGCAGGAAAATCTCCAAAGTGCCGCGCCTGCCACGAAATTCAAGCAACACGCTCGAAAGTGCTGCGCCTGTCACGCAAAGTAAGCTTGCCACGAACTCAAAATCATCCAAACTGCTGGACCTGCCACAAAATCCAACTTTGACATGTTTACGACACGCATCCAAAACTAGCACGGGACTGCGGCGCCAGAATGATTTCGACCAATTTTGACATGTTCGAAGCTCGCCAAAACGAGCCGAGTGTACGACAGCCAACGAAAACGGCACCGGCGCAAACACTATCACGAGCCTGCCAAGCAGGACACCTCAAAACGACCACCCCTGGATCGCAAACCCCACTGGCACGGCAACGAGAACACGCAGCCTTCCAAAACACTGCGCCTGCGCAGCGAAACAACACGTCGAGCTTGAGGAGCTACGATTCGCGCACAGGGTCAACGAAAACAGCACATCGCAAGTCATCAAACTCACGCGTTCTGCGCTTCCCAACTGAGAGAGCCATAGCGCAATCGTACGAAAGGTTGCGAACGGCTGCGAACGGTTGCGGAAGGTTGCACAACATCCGGCGAACAAGGCTTCACCCCGAGACCCCCAAGATGCTAGGCATTCGAGCAGCTCTACCCAGAACCGTGTCAAAAATCACAAAGTCGAATATCCGCGCTTGGTTGGGACGCTCCCGTATAAAAATAGAGCTGCCCAGAATTGGTGTGTGGCTCATATGCGGGGCGTTCTACTCTGATTCGTGCAAAGGCCTTTTCGAAGTTGACATTCATGTTGACCGCGTGTGACAACGAAATGCAGATTGATAGGGTGTGGTCGCTAAAAAGGTGGACGATCCACGTCGTTGGAAAGTCCCCTTGAGGACTTCCACTGAAAACACCTGAATTATCACTATTATACATCCACCAGCAGATTAAAAAGAAAAGCAAGGAGCATCCGCAACAGCCCCGGAACCTTCCCAGATCCTTCCGGAACGGAGTCTTGCTCCGCGTTCCAATCACGTGAAAGCCACGAAGAAAGCTGGGCGATTGAACTTCTCGTTTAAACCATGCTTTACACCACTGCTACTAAACAACCTCCTGTTGGTTTCTGATAGGGGCCCCCTAAAAGAAACCCAAATGGCGCTCCGAGTCTTGCGGAATCCGAAGTCTGCTCGATTTTCGGCTTCGTTCGCCCGTCTGCAAGTTGCAAGCCATGCGATACCCCCAAACGTGTAAGTAGAGGGGCTCCAGTTAGTATCCCAAACCCTGCTGAAAAACAGAACCCAGTCCGCGCAAAAGCAAAGCTGGATGGACCAACTGGTTTGTCTTTTTTGAGGAAATAGCGAAATTTATTTGCTGCATCAACGGGTCCCTCCTGCACCATAGGCACCGGCACCTCGCGGACCTGCTCCACACGCTGGTGGATGACTTGCTCCTCGGAGAGCGGGCCGCGGAGAGTTGAGGGAGCTCAATAGGAGGAACCTTTGCCATTTCTCTAACCCCCCCGAGGCGGTTGTCCAAAGCCAAAGTGTTAAACAAAAAATGAGAATCGAGGGGATTCGTTGATATACCCAACAACAGTGGTTGTGTTGTCGTCCAAGAAACCTGTATATTCCAAATATCCTTAGAATCGCAGACCTCCTGCGAGCTCGATTGCAACCCTCTTTAAAAAATAGGTGCACCATGCAAGCGTCCATCATCTCCTGGTATGAACCTCCCCCAATGTATCAGCTGGAGCTGGAAACCTGTACTTCGTGCGCTACAAGTTCGCGTACCTGTGCTTCGCGCGCTGAACTTGTACTACAAAGTCGTGATCTTCCAGCTGGAGCTGGAAGCCTGTACTTCGCGCATTAGACTGGTACTACAAGGTTGCGATCTTCGAGCTGGAGCTGGAAACCTGTACTTCGTGCGCTAGACTTGCGCTTCAAAGTTGCGGTTTTGCAGCTAGAGCTCGAAAGCGACACTTTTTCTGATTGACTTGATCGACGCTTCTGAGCAACACTTTTGATCCGCACATCTGGTCGACACTTCTGACCGACAGTTTGAGCAACACTGCTGAACCACACTTCTGATTGACACTTATGACCAACACTTCTGGTCCACACTGCTCATCGACACCTCTGAGCGACACTTCTGAGCAACACTGCTGAATTGACACTTCTGAGCGACACTGCCGAGCAACAGTTCAGGCTGCCTCTTCTGCGCGACACTTCCGAGCAACACTGCTGATCGACACTTCGGCGTTACTTCTGATCGACACTTCTGATCGACACTTCTGAGCAACACTTCTGACGCACACTTCAGAGCAACACTGCTGATTCGACACTGCTGACCGACGCCTCTGACCGACACTTCCGAGCAACACTTTTGAGCAACGCTGCTGATTCGACACTGCTGATCAACACCCCTGACCGCTCTTTTCCAGCTGCCGCAACACTTCTGGGCAACACGTCTGAGCCGCACACACATCAAGAGCACTGCTGAGCTCCCTAGCGACAATTCGAGCAACATTTCTACACACATATCTCAGCGACTCCTGAGCGACACTTCTCAGCGACGCCTCTGAGCAATGAGCGATACCCCTGAGCAACACTTTTTGAGCACACTTCTGAGCGACACTTCCGAGCGACACTTCCGATCAAAACTTCTGACCGAGACTTCTGAGCAAAAGTTCTGTTCGACACTGCTGAGCGACACTTGTGAGCAATACTTTTGACTGACACTTCTGAGCGACACTTTTCAGCGATACTTCTGAACCACACTTCTGATTGACTCCTGAGCAACATGTCCGATCCACACTTCTGATCGGATCGACAGTTCAAGTTCTGAGCAACACTTCTGATCAACACTTCTGACAAGATTTCTGAGGGACACGTCTGAGCAACACTTCTGTTCGCCACTTCTGACCGACACTTCAGAGCAACACTTCTGACCGAAGCTTCCGAGCAACACTTCTGTTGACACTTCCAACCGATACTTCTGAGCGACGCTTTTGATTGACACTTCGGAACGACACTTCTAATGTTCTGATCGACACTTCTGAACGACACTTCTGTCTCCAAATGCGCACCAGCGATTCGACCCGCTCAAAGTGCGCAGAGGGTTCACTTCGCATGCTCAAAATGTGCACCGCGCCACGGCGAGAGCGATCTCGCTGAGTCAAAGTGACGTGCCTGCCACAAAATCTACACCCAGGCGCCAAAGTACTGCGCCTGCCACGAAATTTGCAGGAAAATCTCCAAAGTGCCGCGCCTGCCACGAAATTCAAGCAACACGCTCGAAAGTGCTGCGCCTGTCACGCAAAGTAAGCTTGCCACGAACCCAAAAAAATCATCCAAACTGCTGGACCTGCCACAAAATCCAACTTTGACATGTTTACGACACGCATCCAAAACTAGCACGGGACTGTGGCGCCAGAATGATTTCGACCAATTTTGACATGTTCCAAGCTCGCCAAAACGAGCCGAGTGTACGACAGCCAACGAAAACGGCACCGGCGCAAACACTATCACGAGCCTGCCAAGCAGGACACCTCAAAACGACCACCCCTGGATCGCAAACCCCACTGGCACGGCAACGAGAACACGCAGCCTTCCAAAACACTGCGCCTGCGCAGCGAAACAACACGTCGAGCTTGAGGAGCTACGATTCGCGCACAGGGTCAACGAAAACAGCACATCGCAAGTCATCAAACTCACGCGTTCTGCGCTTCCCAACTGAGAGAGCCATAGCGCAATCGTACGAAAGGTTGCGAAACATCCGGCGATCAAGGCTTCACCCCCAGACCGCCAAGATGAAACGAGAACCTTATGCTAAGCATTCGAGCAGCTCTACCCAGAACCGGGTCAAAAATCACAAAGTCGAATATCCGCGCTTGGTTGGGACGCTCCCGTATAAAAAATGGAGCTGCCCAGAATTGGTGTGTGGCTCATATGCGGGGCGTTCTACTCTGATTCGTGCAAAGGCCTTTTCGAAGTTGACATTTATGTTGACCGCGTGTGACAACGAAATGCAGATTGATAGGGTGTGGTCGCTAAAAAGGTGGACGATCCACGTCGTTGGACAGTCCCCTATACATCCACCAGCAGATTAAAAAGAAAAGCAAGGAGCACCCGGAACCTTCCCAGATCCTTCCGGAACGGAGTCTTGCTCCGCGTTCCAATCACGTGAAAGCCACGAAGAAAGCTGGGCGATTGAACTTCTCGTGTAAACCATGCTTTACACCACTGCTACTAAACAACCTCCTGTTGGTTTCTGATAGGGGCCCCCTAAAAGAAACCCAAATGGCGTTCCGAGTCTTGCGGAATCCGAAGTCTGCTCGATTTTCGGCTTCGTTCGCCCGTCTGCAAGTTGCAAGCCATGCGATACCCCCAAACGTGTAAGTAGAGGGGCTCCAGTTAGTATCCCAAACCCTGCTGAAAAACAAGACCCAGTCCGCACAAAAGCAAAGCTGGATGGACCAACTGGCTTGTCTTTTTGGAAGAAATAGCGAAACCTATTTGCTGCATCAAATCGTTGGCCGTGGATCTCTACCACTCAACTCCTATGCCAAGGGAAAACCCATGCCGTACCCCACCCCGAATTCTTCACGCGGTCGTTCCAGATTCTTCTTCGGGTGAGAAAAAGCAAGGTCGGGCCAACCCCTTGGCTCATGTTACCATGCGACATTGGTTTTCTGCCGCGTCTACGGAGACGGGTCCCTCCTGCGCCATAGGCACCGGCACCTCGCGGACCTGCTCCACACGCTGGTGGATGACTTGCTCCTCGAACCCCCGAGGCGGTTGTCCAAAGCCAAAGTGTTAAACAAAAAATGAGAATCGAGGGGATTCGTTGATATACCCAACAACAGTGGTTGTGTTGTCGTCCAAGAAACCTGTATATTCCAAATATCCTTAGAATCGCAGACCTCCTGCGAGCTCGATTGCAACCCTATTTAAAAAAATAGGTGCACCATGCAAGCGTCCATCATCTCCTGGTATGAACCCCGATCTCCTCCCCCAATTTATCAGCTGGAGCTGGAAACCTGTACTTCGCGTATACTAGACTTGTCAAAGTTCTGATTTTCCAGCTAGAGCTGGAAACCTGTACTTCGTGCGCCACAAGATTGTGATTTTCCAGCTAGAGCTGGACTTTGCGTACCTGTGCTTCGCGTGCTGAACTTGTACTACAAAGTCGTGATCTTCCAGCTGGAGCTGGAAGCCTGTACTTCGCGCATTAGACTGGTACTACAAGGTTGCGATCTTCGAGCTGGAGCTGGAAACCTGCGCTAGACATGCGCTTCAAAGTTGTGATTTTCCAGAAACCCGTACTTCGCGCGCTACACTTGCGCTACAAAGTTGCGGTTTTGCAGCTAGAGCTCGAAAGCGACACTTTTTCTGATCGACTTTTCCGAGCAACACTTCTGATCGACGCTTCTGAGCAACACTTTTGATCCGCACATCTGGTCGGCACTTCTGACCGACAGTTTGAGCAACACTGCTGAACCACACTTCTGATTGACACTTATGACCAACACTTCTGGTCCACACTGCTCATCGACACCTCTGAGCGACACTTCTGAGCAACACTGCTGAATTGACACTTCTGAGCGACACTGCCGAGCAACAGTTCAGGCTGCCTCTTCTGCGCGACACTTCCGAGCAACACTGCTGATCGACACTTCGGCGTTACTTCTGATCGACACTTCTGATCGACACTTCTGAGCAACACTTCTGACGCACACTTCAGAGCAACACTGCTGATTCGACACTGCTGACCGACTCCTCTGACCGACACTTCCGAGCAACACTTTTGAGCAACGCTGCTGATTCGACACTGCTGATCAACACCCCTGACCGCTCTTTTCTCTGGGCAACACGTCTGAGCCGCACACACATCAGCAGCACTACTGCTGAGCTCTCCCTAGCGACAATTCGAGCAACATTTCTACACACATATCTCAGCGACTCCTGAGCAACACTTCTCAGCGACGCCTCTGAGCAATGAGCGATACCCCTGAGCAACACTTTTTGAGCACACTTCTGAGCACTTCCGATCAAAACTTCTGACCGAGACTTCTGAGCAATACTTTTGACTGACACTTCTGAGCGACACTTGTGAGCAATACTTTTGACTGACACTTCTGAGCCACACTTCTGATCGGATCGACAGTTCAAGTTCTGAGCAACACTTCTGATCAACACTTCTGACAACATTTCTGAGGGACACGTCTGAGCAACACTTCTGAGCAACACTTCTGTTCGCCACTTCTGACCGACACTTCAGAGCAACACTTCTGACCGAAGCTTCCGAGCAACACTTCTGTTGACACTTCCGACCGATACTTCTGAGCGACGCTTTTGATTGACACTTCGGAACGACACTTCTAATGTTCTGTCTGACCGACACTTCTGAACGACACTTCTGTCTCCAAATGCGCACCAGCGATTCGACCCGCTCAAAGTGCGCAGAGGGTTCACTTCGCATGCTCAAAATGTGCACCGCGCCACGGCGAGAGCGATCTCGCTGAGTCAAAGTGACGTGCCTGCCACAAAATCTACACCCAGGCGCCAAAGTACTGCGCCTGCCACGAAATTTGCAGGAAAATCTCCAAAGTGCCGCGCCTGCCACGAAATTCAAGCAACACGCTCGAAAGTGCTGCGCCTGTCACGCAAAGTAAGCTTGCCACGAACCCAAAAAAATCATCCAAACTGCTGGACCTGCCACAAAATCCAACTTTGACATGTTTACGACACGCATCCAAAACTAGCACGGGACTGTGGCGCCAGAATGATTTCGACCAATTTTGACATGTTCCAAGCTCGCCAAAACGAGCCGAGTGTACGACAGCCAACGAAAACGGCACCGGCGCAAACACTATCACGCGCCTGCCAAGCAGGACACCTCAAAACGACCACCCCTGGATCGCAAACCCCACTGGCACGGCAACGAGAACACGCAGCCTTCCAAAACACTGCGCCTGCGCAGCGAAACAACACGTCGAGCTTGAGGAGCTACGATTCGCGCACAGGGTCAACGAAAACAGCACATCGCAAGTCATCAAACTCACGCGTTCTGCGCTTCCCAACTGAGAGAGCCATAGCGCAATCGTACGAAAGGTTGCGAACGGCTGCGAACGGTTGCGGACGGTTGCACAACATCCGGCGAACAAGGCTTCACCCCCAGACCCCCAAGATGAAACGAGAACCTTATGCTAGGCATTCGAGCAGCTATACCCAGAACCGGGTCAAAAATCACAAAGTCGAATATCCGCGCTTGGTTGGGACGCTCCCGTATAAAAATAGAGCTGCCCAGAATTGGTGTGTGGCTCATATGTGGGGCGTTCTACTCTGATTCGCGCAAAGGCCTTTTCGAAGTTGACATTCATGTTGACCGCGTGTGACAACGAAATGCAGATTGATAGGGCGTGGTCGCTAAAAAGGTGGACGATCCACGTCGTTGGACAGTCCTCTTGAGGACTTTTACTGAAAACACCTGAATTATCACTATTATACATCCACCAGCAGATTTCAAAAAAAAGCAAACAGCATCCGCAACAGCCCCGGAACCTTCCCAGATCCTTCCGGAACGGAGTCTTGCTCCGCGTTCCAATCACGTGAAAGCCACGAAGAAAGCTGGGCGATTGAACTTCTCGTTTAAACCATGCTTTACACCACTGCTACTAAACAACCTCCTGTTGGTTTCTGATAGGCGCCCCCTAAAAGAAACCCAAATGGCGTTCCGAGTCTTGCGGAATCCGAAGTCTGCTCGATTTTCGGCTTCGTTCGCCCGTCTGCAAGTTGCAAGCCATGCGATACCCCCAAACGTGTAAGTAGAGGGGCTCCAGTTAGTATCCCAAACCCTGCTGAAAAACAGAACCCAGTCCGCACAAAAGCAAAGCTGGATGGACCAACTGGTTTGTCTCTTTTGAGGAAATAGCGAAATTTATTTGCTGCATCAAATCGTTGGCCGTGGATCTCTACCACTCAACTCCTATGCCAAGGGAAAACCCACCCCGAATTCTTCACGCGGTCGTTCCAGATTCTTCTTCGGGTGAGAAAAAGCAAGGTCGGGCCAACCCCTTGGCTCATGTTACCATGCGACATTGGTTTTCTGCCGCGTCTACGGAGACGGGTCCCTCCTGCACCATAGGCACCGGCACCTCGCGGACCTGCTCCACACGCTGGTGGATGACTTGCTCCTCGGAGAGCGGGCCGCGGAGAGTTGAGGGAGCTCAATAGGAGGAACCTTTGCCATTTCTCTAACCCCCCCGAGGCGGTTGTCCAAAGCCAAAGTGTTAAACGAAAAATGAGAATCGAGGGGATTCGTTGATATACCCAACAACAGTGGTTGTGTTGTCGTCCAAGAAACCTGTATATTCCAAATATCCTTAGAATCGCAGACCTCCTGCGAGCTCGATTGCAACCCTATTTAAAAAATAGGTGCACCATGCAAGCGTCCATCATCTCCTGGTATGAACCCCGATCTCCTCCCCCAATTTATCAGCTGGAGCTGGAAACCTGTACTTCGTGCGCTACAAGATTGTGATTTTCCAGCTAGAGCTGGACTTCGCGTACCTGTGCTTCGCGTGCTGAACTTGTACTACAAAGTCGTGATCTTCCAGCTGGAGCTGGAAGCCTGTACTTCGCGCATTAGACTGGTACTACAAGGTTGCGATCTTCGAGCTGAGCTGGAAACCTGCGCTAGACTTGCGCTTCAAAGTTGTGATTTTCCAGAAACCCGTACTTCGCGCGCTATCCTTGCGCTACAAAGTTGCGGTTTTGCAGCTAGAGCTCGAAAGCGACACTTTTTCTGATCGACTTTTCCGAGCAACACTTCTGATCGACGCTTCTGAGCAACACTTTTGATCCGCACATCTGATCGACACTTCTGACCGACAGTTTGAGCAACACTGCTGAACCACACTTCTGATTGACACTTATGAGCAACACTTCTGATCTACACTTCTCATCGGCACCTCTGAGCGACACTTCTGAGCAACACTGCTGAATTGACACTTCTGAGCGACACTGCCGAGCAACCGTTCAGGCTGCCTCTTCTGCGCGACACTTCCGAGCAACACTGCTGATCGACACTTCGGCGTTACTTCTGATCGACACTTCTGATCGACACTTCTGAGCAACACTTCTGACGCACACTTCAGAGCAACACTGCTGATTCGACACTGCTGACCGACGCCTCTGACCGACACTTCCGAGCAACACTTTTGAGCAACGCTGCTGATTGATCAACACCCCTGACCGCTCTTTTCCAGCTGCCGCAACACTTCTGGGCAACACGTCTGAGCCACACACACATCAGGAGCACTGCTGAGCTCTCCCTAGCGACAATTCGAGCAACATTTCTACACACATATCTCAGCGACATGAGCGACGCGCCTGAGCGACACTTCTCAGCGACGCCTCTGAGCAATGAGCGATACCCCTGAGCAACACGTTTTGAGCACACTTCTGAGCGACACTTCCGAGCAACACTTCCGATCAAAACTTCTGGCCGAGACTTCTGAGCAATACTTTTGACTGACACTTCTGAGCGACACTTGTGAGCAATACTTTTGACTGACACTTCTGAGCCACACTTCTGATCGGATCGACAGTTCAAGTTCTGAGCAACACTTCTGATCAACACTTCTGACAACATTTCTGAGGGACACGTCTGAGCAACACTTCTGAGCAACACTTCTGTTCGCCGCTTCTGACCGACACTTCAGAGCAACACTTCTGACCGAAGCTTCCGAGCAACACTTCTGTTGACACTTCCGACCGATACTTCCGAGCGAAGCTTTTGATTGACACTTCGGAACGACACTTCTAATGTTCTGATCGACACTTCTGAACGACACTTCTGTCTCCAAATGCGCACCAGCGATTCGACCCGCTCAAAGTGCGCAGAGGGTTCACTTCGCATGCTCAATATGTGCACCGCGCCACGGCGAGAGCAATCTTGCTGAGTCAAAGTGACGTGCCTGCCACAAAATCTACACCCAGGTGCCAAAGTACTGCGCCTGCCACGAAATTTGCAGGAAAACCTCCAAAGTACCGCGCCTGCCACGAAATTCAAGCAACACGCTCGAAAGTCACGCAAAGTAAGCTTGCCACGAACCCAAAATCATCCAAACTGCTGGGCCTGCCACAAAATCCAACTTTGACATGTTTACGACACGCATCCAAAACTAGCACGGGACTGTGGCGCCAGAATGATTTCGACCAATTTTGACATGTTCCAAGCCCTGGATATAGGCATAGGGCTGATACAGCCAACGAAAACGGCGCCGGCGCAAAACACTATCACGCGCCTGCCAAGCAGGACACCTCAAAACAACCACCCCTGGATCGCAAATCCCACTGGCACGGCAACGAGAACACGCAGCCTTCCAAAACACTGCGCCTGCGCAGCGAAATGACACGTCGAGCTTGAAAAGCTACGATTTGCGCACAGGGCCAACGAAAACAGCACATCACAAGTCATCAAACTCACGCATTATGCGCTTCCACACTGGGAGAGCCATAGCGCAATCATACAAACGGTTGCGAAACGGTTGCGGACGGTTGCACAACATCCGGCGAACAAGGCTTCACCCCCAGACCCCCAAGATGAAACGAGAACCTTATGCTAGGCATTCGAGCAGCTCTACCCAGAACCGTGTCAAAAATCACAAAGTCGAATATCCGCGCTTGGTTGGGACGCTCCCGTATAAAAATAGAGCTGCCCAGAATTGGTGTGTGGCTCATACGCGGGGCGTTCTACTCTGATTCGTGCAGAGGCCTTTTCGAAGTTGACATTCATGTTGACCGCGTGTGACAACGAAATGCAGATTGATAGGGCGTGGTCGCTAAAAAGGTGGACGATCCACGTCGTTGGACAGTCCCCTTGAGGACTTCCACTGAAAACACCTGAATTATCACTATTATACATCCACCAGCAGATTTAAAAAAAAAAGCAAGGAGCAGCCGCAACAGCCCCGGAACGGAGTCTTGCTCCGCGTTCCAATCACGTGAAAGCCACGAAGAAAGCTGGGCGATTGAACTTCTCGCTTAAACCATGCTTTACACCACTGCTACAAAACAACCTCCTGTTGGTTTCTGATAGGGGTCCCCTAAAAGAAACCTAAATAGCGTTCCGAGTGTTGCGGAATCCGAAGTCTGCTCGATTTTCGGCTTCGTTCGCCCGTCTGCAAGTTGCAAGCCATGCAATACCCCCAAACGTGTAAGTAGAGGGGCTCCAGTTATTATCCCAAACCCTGCTGAATTAAAGGACCGGATAACCCCACATGCTATGTTTTCCCAAATGTCCACACACATGTACCGTGCGCCCCTTGTATGGATGCGATTACAGAGCACCCAGATGCACAGAATGCAGCGCCTGCCACGACTTCGGCAACGGCATCGCCAAAGTGCTGCGCCTGCCACGATTTCGCAACGGCATCGCCAAAGTCCTGCGCCTGCCACGATTTCGCACACCCCCCGCCGCGCGCGCGACAACATCCTGTCCCTCTAGACAGCTGCCGAATGCGACCCCTGCCACACAAACACACACACCCAGATGCACAGAATGCAGCGCCTGCCACGACTTCGGCAACGGCATCGCCAAAGTGCTGCGCCTGCCACGATTTCGCAACGGCATCGCCAAAGTGCTGCGCCTGCCACGATTTCGCACACCCCCCGCCATGCCATGCTGGGGGGCGGGGGGCGACAACATCCTGTCCCTCTAGACAGCTGCCGAATGCGACCCCTGCCACACAAACACACACACCCAGATGCACAGAATGCAGCGCCTGCCACGACTTCGGCAACGGCATCGCCAAAGTGCTGCGCCTGCCACGATTTCGCAACGGCATCGCCAAAGTGCTGCGCCTGCCACGATTTCGCACACCCCCCGCCGCGCGCGCGACAACATCCTGTCCTTCTAGACAGCTGCCGAATGCGACCCCTGCCACACAAACACACACCCAGATGCACAGAATGCTGCGCCTGCCACGACATCGGCAACGGCATCGCCAAAGTGCTGCGCCTGCCACGATTTCGCAACGGCATCGCCAAAGTGCTGCGCCTGCCACGATTTCGCACGCCCCCCGCCGCGCGCGCGACAACATCCTGTCCCTCTAGACAGCTGCCGAATGCGACCCTGCCACACAAACACACACCCAGATGCACAGAATGCTGCGCCTGCCACGACTTCGGCAACGGCATCGCCAAAGTGCTGCGCCTGCCACGATTTCGCAACTGCATCGCCAAAGTGCTGCGCCTGCCACGATTTCGCACACCCCCCGCCGCGCGCGCGACAACATCCTGTCCCTCTAGACAGCTGCCGAATGCGACCCCTGCCACACAAACACACACCCAGATGCACAGAATGCTGCGCCTGCCACGACTTCGGCAACGGCATCGGCAAAGTGCTGCGCCTGCCACGATTTCGCAACGGGCATCGCCAAAGTTGCTGCGCCTGCCACGATTTCGCACGCCCCCCGGCAGTGCTGCGCTGCCACGATTTCGCAATCGGCAACGGCATCGCCAGAGTGCTGCGCCTGCCACGATTTCGCACACCCCCCGCCGCGCGCGCGACAACATCCTGTCCCTCTAGACAGCTGCCGAATGCGACCCCTGCCACACAAACACACACCCAGATGCACAGAATGCTGCGCCTGCCTCGACTTCGGCAACGGCATCGCCAAAGTGCTGCGCCTGCCACGATTTCGCAACGGCATCGCCAAAGTGCTGCGCCTGCCACGATTTCGCACGCCCCCCGCCGCGCGCGCGACAACATCCTGTCCCTCTAGACAGCTGCCAAATGCGACCCCTGCCACACAAACACACACCCAGATGCACAGAATGCTGCGCCTGCCACGACTTCGGCAACGGCATCTCCAAAGTGCTGCGCCTGCCACAATTTCGCAACGGCATCGCCAAAGTGCTGCGCCTGCCACGATTTCGCACACCCCCCGCCGCGCGCGCGACAACATCCTGTCCCTCTAGACAGCTGCCGAATGCGACCCCTGCCACACAAACACACACCCAGATGCACAGAATGCTGAGCCTGCCACGACTTCGGCAACGGCATCGCCAAAGTGCTGCGCCTGCCACGATTTCGCAACGGCATCGCCAAAGTGCTGCGCCTGCCACGATTTCGCACACCCCCCGCCGCGCGCGCGACAACATCTTGTCCCTCTAGACAGCTGCCGTGAG